TAATAGTTGATTTACAGGAAGTTGGGGTTTATAAGGTATATACTTTTTAAAAAAAACTGACACATAGTTAACCCCAGCAGCTATAGAATCCTTTAATATAAGATGGAATACTAAGAACAAAAAGTAATTTAAATTTAATTATTAAAATAATTTAATTTTGTTTTTCATTTGAAAAATAAGCTAATGTGTAAGGTTAGAAAAGAAAGTTGGAATGCAACTTAGAGCATGTTTATAATGTGCACAGAAAAAGCTTGAGAATGATATTTGGTTTAAATGTGCTGGTTAGTTGATGTTATGACTACTTTAAATTTTAAGGATTGTGACACACTCCTACTATTGAAAAACCTCAGTGTAACTTTAATATATTTGCTGCTGTGACATTTCAAAACATTTTCAGTTTATCAAAATGAATTACAGATTTCATTTTGGTGGGCGATACATTATCATTTTGCTAATAACCAAATTTGCAGTTTGTTCAGGGTCTTGAATAGATTTACAGATATTTAACACTGAAGCTGTTTTGAACTTTCAGTAATGTAAACTCTCTACTAATTGGGTAGTTAGAAGCTGGGCAGTGCATTTTAACTTTTACTAGACTCATGAGAGAGACCAATAATTTTTATATAGCAGTTTTAAAATGTGGTTCAGAGTATCCATGTTGGATTTATGGAGTATGCAGTTTTAGTGGTAAAATGTTATAAAGCATGTGCCTCCATATAAAGAATGGGGATTTGCTTCGTATATTCAGAATTCTCCGAGTGCCCCTTTTCTCTGTTAAAATTCAGGTTCTGATCATTTTTCTAAGCCAATTTTCCTAAGTCCAAAAGGAATACTTAAAGCTGAATTTAAAAAATAAGTGCACCTTGTCAAATACTTGTGTTTTTACACTTGTGTTTGTGTGTATCTAATAATCACATATACGTGTAATACTAAAGAGATTTTCAGCTATTACATTTAAAAACTGCTTACATATGTTTAAAAAAACTGAAGAGTGGGACACTACACAACCAGGTAGTTATTTGGTCTCTTAGATCTATACTGAACCCTCTTCAGCTTAACGTTACCTGCATACTAGGGTATGAATCCTCTTGCTCTTTTTTTTTTTTTTCCAAGTAAGTATACATAATAGATTGCAAAACAGCAGATGTCAGGGTCATCTTTCTTTTTAAAGAATTAAGCCATATTTTGTGAGGGCCAGAACTTGGATTATTTAATATATTTCCCCTTCTCCCCCATTGAAAAACAAATTTAAAAAATAAAGTAAATGTTTCAACACAATTTTATTGACCTCTTTATACAGAATTTTACTTGCAAAAATTTGGGGGCCTGAATGCATTACATAATATTTATATTGAGCTTTTTTATTCCTCACACTATATTTACATTAATAAATTGATTGAGAAGTTTATAGTAAAGGGATACTTACAGAACACTTTTATATCATTTAAAAGATGACCTGACCAAAAACTTTACAGGATTCATAAAATCAGGGATCATTTTGCTATTGACTTCACAGTGATCAGTAGTTTTATAGGTAATATTATAGTTAATTTGCAGCATTTAGTATTTGTATTATTTATTTTTGGTCAGAAATAGTAAATTAAATATTTTTTGATAGTTTATAGGTAATGATCAACCCATAACTTTTAAAAGAAACAAAATGTTTCTAATTATTGAGTTAACTTTTGATTATACAAACTAGGAAAGGCAGGGAAATTTATGGGTTCCCCTTCTCCCCAGTGATTCTATTAAGATGTTCTTTACGTTAAACTTTCAAAGTACTTTATAAATTTAGTTACCAGTTACTACTTATTAATTGACAGTTTTCTGAAAAATCCAGTTTCAGCAGACTTTTAATGAAGGTGAAAGCAACCCTTATATGCTTTCTACTTATTTGAATGTTCCTCAAGTATTTTATATTTAAAAGAAAAAAAAAAGAAGGAAAAGAAAAAACAGTGCCTCTGTTTTTAGAAAACTACTGCTCAGTAAAGTTGTTTAAACCATTTCTGGTAGCTAATGACAATTTTATATTAAATTGTATACTAACTTTAGTGAGACTGATTTTTTTAGTTGTTTACAGTACAAATACTTGTATTTGTTTTTTAATTGCAGTATTTCCATTGTCGCAGTAATTTAGTAAAACTCTGTGGCTGCCTTGATTTTGACAGATTTTGTTAATATAAACTGATTGTTAGGCAATTAGTTATATTTATGCATAAATCAATTGCACTATAATTCATGAATTATTTATTACAATATTTTCTAATGAATTCATGTATCTGTCTTGTGTTGTAAATGTACTGTAATTCTGTTCCTACTTTGTGTTGTTATATATCTAAATCTGATTGTATGAATTTTAATTGTTCAGTTAACGTGTTTCTAGGTTGTAATTTGTAGTAAAGCACTTCAATGCTTTTGCACTTAAATTTACAACACTGTTGGTGTGTGATTGATTTACTCATTCAGTAAAAGAAAAGAAAAGAAAAGAAAAGAAAAAAACTGACTACACTGACTTTTTTGATTCACTGTAGGAATGAGTTTTATTTATATTAATATGAAAAGTTGACTTCTCCAAAGAACAACAAAACTTGTAATGAGCAAAACTGATAGTAACGTATAAAAAAATAGGCAGGATGTTTTGGTTTATAAATCAAACTGGAAAAGGTTAGAAAAAAATTTAACATTAAAAACAAGGGAGCTATGAAAGATATAATTATAGAACCTTTACATAATTACTTGAGAATACTAGATTGGAGACCTATGTGTATTCAACTATTACTTACTCATATTAGGTTTTTCTTTGAGCCTCTAACGTGCAAGAAATATGAAAAAGAAAAATTTGGAGCCAAATAAGCATTATGGAATTTTATAATTTGAGAATTTAGTTAGCTAATATCTGATATGTGTGTATTAGATATAATCTAATGCCTTAATATCCAATTAGTAACTTTATGAAGCTATTCTTCATATACCATTACATGGGAATTATTGACCACTGTGGTATTTTGGAAGTTCCATTATTATAATAAAGTAATAAAATGGGAAAAAAAAAACCAAAAGTAATTAACTGAATAAGAAACTTTTTTAAAGTATAGACTTCCTTGAAATCTCAGAAGACAAATGTAAAAATCTTGGGGTGGTTTTCAGAATAGTTAACACTAATCATTAGTTTTAATTATTTCTACTTTCTATTTGACTTTGCTAACAGAAAAAACATTTAAGCATTTTAGAAAACTTAGGAAAGCAAATTAATCTTTAAATTATGATGCAATGAATTTTTCTAAGAAACAAAATCTCTTTTTATTTAATCACAGATATGTTTAATAGGCCATAACATAACTTTAAAGAAACTGTTGAAGTGCATCTATCAGAACTCTTGGGTTTCCTTTTGCTTATGTGAAAATTATAATTTTTAATTTGCTAGAAAAGAGTATATCACTTATATCTTCATATTTGATAGTTAACATTTCCTCATGTCTTTGTTCTCCATATATTTTTTGAGTTATCTAATAGTGAATCTTGGGAATCAGTTCCATCATTTACTCCCAATCATGATAAAACTAACCAAAAAAAAATATATTTTCAGAAAGGAAAGGATATTGGGGTCATGTCTGTGGACTTAAACATTTTATTATTAATTTCATATCTTTTTCTCACTTTGATAACTGCTTTTTGTCAAATCACATATTAGTTTTGGTGAAATACTGGTTGAATCTAGTAAAGTTACCGTTTTTCTAGAAAATTTTTGATCTAATGTTCAGAATTTGCTTTGGTGTTTTTGCTACTCAACAATATTTATAAAATGTAGATAAAATATTGCATACTTATCTGTGAAACAGGTTAAGTCAGTTTTAGAGAGCAAAATAAAATTAATTTCACTTTTCATTTTAAAATAAAAATCCTTTCTAATATATATGAATATAATAACCCTTTAAACAAAATACAATCTCCTATAGCAATTCATAATCAGTATATCCCAATTCCAACCCTAAATAAAATTTCTACAAAACAGGAACTATTAACAATAATAGCAAATAAAAGAAATCATGAATGGGAGGCTATTTTCATGTACAGAGTTTGGTGATATGTTTAATTTAAATAGATACTTTTCTGAAACAGAATTCTTTTAATATATTTTATTCTTCTTGCTGCTGGTATTGGATTAAAAAATTTTTTTTGTAGACTTCTGCCTTGGTTGCTAAGTAATCCTGGGTGTTAGTTAAAATTAGATGTATATTAGTTTCTTCAGTGGGACATTTTCCAGCATTTGAAATTAAATAATTAGGTAAGTAATGCCTTTAGTCTTCATGTAATTACTTTAGTATTTAAAATAAATTAAAAATAGATTTTATTTTTAAATAGCTTAGATTTTTTATTATTAGGTTAAAATGCCTGCAGCTTAATCTTAGAGAAGATATTCTGTTATTTATATGAAATCTAAATTCCTTAATTTTCCTTGTGAGTATGCAAAGCTTTCTTTTATCAATAATTTTTATTTTCACTACCTTGAAAAAATACCTATTTTAAATAAAGATAAGATTTTCTCCTACATCTTATTTTTCTTATTTGCACTAATACGGGTTGATAATTATCAAAATAACTTACAAAATGTCTACTTTCAAAAATGTAACTCCTTCTGAAGCACTTGCCATTAAATATTCTTAATACGTCCAAAGCACTACACATTAGCAATCTATAAATATAATCATACCTATAATCAGCTTTTATATCACAAAACTAGGGCTTTCCTTTGACTATGATACTTGCCATGGGAAATTAATTATCATCGTGCTTCATTATATTTTTGCTGAACAATAATCAAGATGTCATTAGTGCAGCTCTGTAGGAGTTAGGAGTCCAGCAATACCAAAATTTCTTTTGTTCAAACTCTGTTAAAATTGTAACTCCTTATAATACTGGTATTTTTGCTGTAATTCATTTTTTGTTTGATTTTTATTTTTAGTTCAACTGTTGATGCAAAATCAGAGGAAGCTACTAAAATGGAAAAAGGAAAATCAGCATTAAGCAAAGTTTTGGAATCTTTGTGCATACATCACCAGCAACAAGTTTTGGCCATGTTGAAATTAGTCCAAGAGCAGAATGCTGCTTCTCTTTGCTCTTGTAATGCATCATATACTGTGTCTTCAGAATCTCAAAAGCCCCTAATTGAAGATGATTTACATGGTCTATTCTGTAATTATGAATATAGGCTGGCAGAAAGAGGGTGTTTACGAAATGAAAGACAAAGCCCTGGTTTTGTGCCTCTGCCAGTCTGTATTAAAGATTTACATTGTTTATCTTGCCAAACTGTAACTATTGAACACATTAAGACAGTAGTGAATAGAGGAATTGCAAACAGTTCTAATTCTCACAGGTGCTGTTCTGGACTGTTACCAAACATTCACTCCACAAAACCAACGTTTCATGCTCCTCTTTCACCAAGGGAAGTATGTGGTGTTTCAGTCAGTCTTAAGGACTTTTGTGGATCTCGAAGTCCGTCACCTCCCCCATTATCACCTGTACAGACTGAAGGATTCGAAAAATTGAAAGATGTCGTCTCAGAGCTTTCGGCCTTAGAAGATAATGGACTTGAAATAAACATTAACCAGCCTCCATCTCTCATACCAGCAGAAATAAACAGTGACAAGGGTGACCGCGAAGGTAAAATACGTAAAACTAAAAAATCCAGTGACTCTGATTATTTGCTTCTGGAAGACAGCGGTAATTGTACTACAAATCGTGAAAAAGGTGAAACTACTATAATTTTTCAAGATTTAATGGATCGTATTAATGAAAAACTAAAATCAATAGAAACTACAGATGTGACAAACCTTATAAAATTATCTAGCAGTGATTGTAATACAGATAATGATTTAAAACTGAGAGATTTAATATCCTCACTCTTGAATAATGCCAAGGCCAGTGATTACAGTTTCATGGAATTGCTGAGTCAACATGATAAAAAGGTAGAAAATAAAATTATTCAGACAAGATTTCGAAAGCGTCAAGAAACCTTATTTTCAATGCACAACTCTCCTGATTCACCCATGTTTAGAAGGCAGTCTTTACAAATAAAAAGAGAACTTGCTAGTCTTGATGAAAATTTTGTAAGAAAAAAATACACTGAAAAAAATTCAAGGAAGTTGACATGCAATGATGAGATACTTTCCATGGACAAAAAAGAATTCTATCATTGCCAAGGGTCTTTACAAAATTCTGAAAGCTTACAAGATAATAATCATGCAGAAACATCATTTTCACCAGATTGTGCATTACAATCATTGCAACTACCTCTTCATAGTTTAGAAACTAACTTGGCTTTTGATGCATTTTCAGAAAGCTTTAAAACAACTTCCCCTGGGAAAATGAGCATAAAATCACAGGAGAAATCTGCAGCTGGAAAAAAACTTTTGCAAAATCACAAGGAGAATCCAAAACTGGAGAATACTCAAACTCCTTTGAAAAGTGATGTTCCTGGACTTTTGAGCAGAACTAAACGAAATATTGTGCGCCCAGGGTGGTATTCTATATATGTAACAAATAATTATGTTTTTAAAAAATCCCCTAAGGCCAAAAAACTTTCTGAATCTACAAAAAAAAAAGACCCAGTGAAAAATATTCAAATTGAAAGCTCACACAATATAGATCTAAACAAAATTGCAATGAATTCTAATTTACAAGTTGTTGTGGAGCGTTTGGAAGACACAATAAATATGGCCAAAAAGTCTTTGAATAATCACTCATTATCTGAAGGATGCAAGGCATCCAAGAAATTGATAGAAATTAATGGTAAAGATCAAACTGCAGGTAGAAATATGACTCTTACTTTAAGCAGAACGACATGCAAAGAACAGAGTTTATCAAAATCTGTGGTAGCAGCCAGCAATATCAAAAGCAGTCATATTCCTACAATAGATATGAATAGCAAAAGACTTGATAATCTGGAAAAGTCTTCTATTTTAGATGTGAGTAGCTTGATTTCCAATGTTCAAAGTGTGCCAACAAAATATGAAGCCATTGAAAGCTCTTCTTTTTCCAGCTATTCTAGCCCTATCAAACTCATGTTTTTATCTGAGGTTAAAAGCAGTGAAGGAGTCAAATATACTTTAACTTCAGTTGGTACTTCCAAATCAAATATTGATCTTCCTTCTGAAAAATGTCCAACTCATCATGTAATTGAAAAAAAAACAGAAACAAATAAGGATGTCCCAAATGCTAACTTTGAAAATTATAGTTCTAATCTTAATGATAGTGACCCTTTACAGGGAGAACTAAACAAATTTAATTGTGCAAAAGAAACTACAGAATCCCCTGCAATGTTTATAGATGATATGAATAGTGATAAGCCACAACATGAACCTAAGGAAAATCCAAGCAATGGTATTGATTCATCTTTTAAACGAAAACCAGGTAGACCTAAAAAAATAGGTCCCCAGGTTGTGAAACAAATTAAGCGGCCAATTGGAAGACCACCAAAACCTAAAACTGATCAAACAGACATCACCATTTGCCAAAATGAGTCTTCTAGTGCTGGAAAGAAAAGTCCAGAATCTCTCCTATCAGAAGTAGAAGAAGGTATTTATAAAAAGAGTATTACTGTAACTGTTATTTATGGAAGATCAAGAAGAAGTAGAAGGCATGTTTCTGAAGGAACTGTAAACATAAGCAATATTATGTCTTTCAGCAATAATGTTGCTGATTTTCCAACTGAATGTAACAGTCTCAGAAATACTAGAGAATACAAAATTGACTCAGGTGAAAGAAGTGCTGTTTCAAGTTTGACTACTGAAAGTGAGATCTTGGGGTCTGGCTTTGAATATGTTAGGCCTATCAAGAACAAGTCTGTGATACCTCAACCTTCCAAGAACATTATTCGACCAAATCAGAAGCCTTTTGCAATAATGAGGAAGCCTGGTAGACCTGCAAAAGTGAAAATCTCTGGCATATCTGTGACTATTAATAGAGTTTCACCTCAGGAGAGAGAAGTAAGTATTAGCAGCTGCTTACCTCCTTTAGAACAAGAAAATACATTAGAAAAAAATCTGGCTGAAGAAAAGTATGATCACCAATGCAGTAAGATGGATACAAGGCACACTGAAGCTGACATATTTAAGAATGGATCAAAAAGTATGGTTGCTACTATACCTTTGAGACATTCTATTAGGGATAGAAAACCATCTCTCCATTTCTTACATCCATTAGCATCGTCTAGCTCACTTATTTATAGAAATGCTCTGCTCCGTAAATCATATAAACTCCATTTGCAGAAAGGTAAAAGTCAGAAGGAAAAACATAGGCAGTCAAGGATAAAAATAGCTTCGAAAGGTACCCCAGCAACTAGAAATTCAAGGAATGCAAAAATGTGTTTGGAAGATAACAAATTAATACCCATTTCTGAAGTATCCTTGGACCCTATAATTTCATCAAATCCTTTGCTCAGGTGGTGGGCTGCTTCTACTTCAAACGATTCCTTACTAGAGGAATTAAACAATAGATTTGAGCAAATAACAAATGCTTGGGTACAAGTGAGTGGAGATGAAGCTGGAAACTGTGTTCATAAAAAAAGAGAACGCATTGAAAATGATAATTTCAAAATAGCAAACCCTTTGGAAACCTGTCTTTTAGAACTTGAAGTTTCACCTGTAAAAATGCTTTTTCAGAAAAAGTATGATTTGAATGAACTCTGTATCTGGTTTATGCAAACAACAGAAACACAGTCTCTTTCACTAGTTAGAAAAGCAAATGCTCGAAACCCTTTGGAAGTAATAAACACCAGAGGAATTAAATTAGGGACCAAATATTCTAATTTTAATACCAGCCCCTTCAGAAAGCACTTTAAAAAATTTGCACTATCTTCTCCTTCAAAATCAGCAGGGAAGTTGCATATACTGCATAAAATGGTTAGCTCTCCACTGTTAAATGTGAAAAGTAATTTAACATTAGCTAGATTAAAAAGAACTGAGTTTAAGAGGTTGCAACATGCAAAGTGGAAAAGAGAGGGAAAGCTGCACAACCATGGAACAATTGATTGGATCTCTAAAAGGAGGAACTTAAGATTTTTCTGCCAGAACCAATTTTTAAATAAGACTGAGGGGGGAACAAAGGCTGACATCCCACTCCAAGGAAAAAACACAATAGATAATCAGTTTATTTTGCCACCTGAGATCAGGGATGACTCTTTGCAACAGAAGGTGGTGATGTCTGACTTGAAAACACATGCTAGTTTAGAGAATAATTTTAAGTCAGAAGCAAAGGAGAATGGAACAAATTGCAGCCAAAAAGATTTTGAAAAGGGACCAAGGCTAGGAAATGTATGTCCAAATAATTGGAGGTCAAAAACCTTAAAAGATTGTAGAATATTTTTGAGGAAGATCAACTATCTTGAACACAGAAATACTTTTAAGCTAAATACAATCATTTACTCTCCTGAATCTATTGACGGTGGAAGTAATCATCAGACTCATAGAGAAGAATCAAAGTGCTTTACCTTAAGATCCCATTCTGCTAGGCAAAATTCTTTTAAAAAGCAATCTAAAGAAATAGAAAATGCTAGAACAAATAGTCCTTCAACCAATAAATTTCCTGGCCAACTTGACAACAGTAAATTAAATAAATGTGTTAACTATGACAAGAATCCTGATAGTTCTGATGTTCTTAGCAAATTGAACAAAAGAAAAAGACCACCATGGAAGACCACAGAAATGTCAACAAAAAGACATAAACGACAGTCTTGCAACAGTGGACAAATGGCAAACTATTATTCAAAATCCCAACTAGGTAAGTTTTTCTCTACTTAATTTTAAAGTTTCATTGTAGGTGCCTTGAGTAAAGTATGAGATAATGGGTAGAAAAGGAACAGCTGATTTAGTTTCAATTTATTTCCAAAATATTTGGACAACCTAATTTCTTGGCACCTAGTATGAAACTCACGAAATTAGGTTCTACTAAATGTACCCATGCACTTCCCTACATCTTAATGTGTCCAGAATTGTAAGCAAATTAAAATATATTTAGTAGAGACATAGAAAGCTCCTAAACATATATCATTAATATACAAGTTATATTATCTGTTTTTGTATTTGATCTAATATAAAATATAGAAAACAGTGTGAATGGTAAATATGCCCAAGGAGCTATCTAAAAATTAACTGCTACACTACAGGATAATATGTATTCATTGTCTTGATAAATTAATAGCTTTGAGACCATGTGGAAAGAAGTAAAGACTGTCTCTGCTAAGTCGATGAGGTCTATAACATATATAATAATTCTAGTAAATCAGTCTCACATTCACCATCAAATTGTTAATGTCCTCTGGTACTGCTTTGAGAACCATCTTAAGACTCTGCTTATTTAAATAGTGTCAAGGAACAAGATATTTTCTTCAATAAATAAGCAAATTTGTTGAATAGGTTTTTTTTCAGATGAGACATTGAACTAGATTCCACAGATACAAAGATGAGGATTTTTTTCCAGAGATAATCTATAGTGTAACAAGGGAGAAAATCATATACAGATACTGTTAAGGTAATGGTAAATTTAGAATGTAAACTGAAATTACTTTAGTAAGTAATTATGTGCTTTACTCAGTTATGCTGGCCTGACTTTGGTGCCTCAGGGAGACTGTTCCCCTCAGACCCTAGCAAGATAGGATATGAACACTGTAGTTGCCAATGGAGCCAGTTCCATCTCAGCTTATTGATAGGTGCTAGACAGTTCAGGATTTGTAGAAGTATGGTAATGCTCATTCCATTACTTCCTGGACATGCGAGAGAGTGCCAGGTTACATTTGTAAATTTAAGGCTATTTTATTTTATAGTTGCATTGTTACATCGTATATTTTAGGGGCTTATGGAGGTATTGATGGCTTTATTTTTGTTACCTTTTTAAAACTTTTTTAAAAGCTAAGAAACAATTATTAAATTTTCTATTAAAATATTAAAAGCAATAAACTCAAGTTTTAATAGGTTAGATGATTATAATGACCCCAACATTCAATTAATTGAATGACTTTAAAATGCCTATTTCAGTAATATTTAACATGCATTAATTAAAAATTTTTAACTTTGTAACATGTGACAATTAAAGCTTTAATGTTAATCAAATTAGAGTCTCCATTATGAAAGATGAATCAAATTGAAAAATAATGTCCTTTGTTTCTTGTCCTTAGGATAACTAAAAATAACATGACAAATAGCATGTCAGGAAAAAAGAGGGAAGAAGCCTGATAGTGATTAAAAAAAAAAAATTTATAATTCACCTAAAAATATATACACATATTTTTGAAAGACTGTCATGAATGGAGTAGAAAGTGCAGTGTTTCACTTTTAATTCTTTCATTCTCATTTCATGCTGTTAGAGTTTACCAAAGGTAGTTTACAACAGAACCGTATTTTGTCCTTCTAGCTTCTTAACCATTGTATCTTCCTAAGGTATGAATATAAAATTTATATTAATATGATTCTTTATCTCACTAAATATGAGATCACCCTGGAAAAATCAGATGGAAAATGCCTCATTATTGCTTTTTCACATTAATCTCAAAATCCTTTTGTGATTTTTTAAAAAAATTTAGCATTGTTGTTTTACACCTTTTCTCATTTTTAAAATTACTAGTACTATTTCCTGTTCTGCTTAAAGTTTTATTTATCTTTTACTGATAACTTTCCTTCTTTATTTAACATTCCTTTTTGTAATCAAGGACATTATTTTTACAAAGTTGTATTTATAGCAGCTTTTGTTATATTTATCTGATTTTAAAATGTTTCTTAAGGTGTTCTTTTTTTTCTCATTATTCTTGGTATTCCATACTTCTTAATGCCTTTTTGGAAATGACACTAAAATTCATTATCAGTTTTATATGTGTTTTTCTTCATCATAGAGTAATTAGTGACTGGAGATTTGAGAGAGATTTTTAACAACAAGGACTTTTCTAGAAAAATTCATAAGGCAATGTATATAATGAATTAGGGAATATTTCTATTGATGAAAAGTTTTGCTTCTGCCATAAATGTCTTGTTTTTGTACATTTCAAGATTTACTGTCTAGATATAGTTTAATACATAGGAGTTTTAAAACTTATACTTCAGAACATTTGTACTGCTGTGTATCAACTGTAGACATGGCAAGGAAAGAAGAAATGCAATTCTATCCTATTCTTAATTCAGTATATACTTAATGAATGCCTACAACATGCTCTTAGATACTGTAGAAAGTTCAGAAAGTTCCCTTTCCATCTGAGTAAGAAAACAAGACTTGCATCATGTACATATATTCAGTAAATAGAGTATATTTTATGTTTTAAGTGAGATATTATATTATTAATTATATTAAGGGGATAGAATGGCTAAAGTCATGGTTTGTGTTCTCATGGAGCTTATCATTTCATAGGGGACAGTGAATAGGCAATTCCAGTAGAAAGTAGAGTGCTATGATTGGGGAGAGAGGTGGTTTGTAGAAGCACCAAGGAGGGAAATTGAACCCAGGTTTAGAAAATTAGGCAAGGATTCTTACATAGTTACATCTAAGCTGAGATTTGAAGGATGCCAAAGTATTAGAAGTCAGGGGAGAAGTATTTCAGGAAGAGCAAACTGCATGTGGAAAATTTGGGTGACAGAACAGGCTTATAGAACACTGAGTAATTTAATTCATACAGCTGAGGCATAAAAGAGAAATTAAGAAAGGGGCAGGGGGTGGACAGAAAAATGGCAAAAGATAAAGCTACTGAGGGAAGCATAGCCCAAATTGTGAGGCCAGCATCAGTTAATGAAAAAATGTTTGGAGCCCTAGTATGGCAGTAATGGAGAACAGATAAATTTGATGGAGGTCTATGAGATAGAATCAGTACATCTTAGAGAGTAGAGGAATAAAGGGTAATGTCCAGGTTTGTGCTTGAACATCTAAGTGATAGATGATAGTAACATTCACTGAGATATAAGAGCATTAAGAGTGTGCAGTTTTAGACGTAAGCAGTTTGAGTGGAATATCTAAGAAAAGATGTTTAGGAAGCAATCACAGTTGACCCTTGGACAATGCAGAGGTTAGGGGTGCTAACTTCCTGTGCATTAAAAAAATCTACATATAACTTTTGACTCCGCAAGAACTTAACTACCAATAACCTGTTGACCGGAAGCCTTACTGATAACATGAACAGTTAATACATATTTTCTGTTATATGTATTATATACAGTATTCTTATAATAAAGTAAGCTAGAGAAAAGATTTTATAAGAAAATCATAAGGAAGAGAAAATACATTTACAATACTGTATGTATATTTATGGGGGAAAAAATCTGCGTGTAAGTGGACCCACGCAGTTTAAACCTGTCTTATTAAGAGGTCAGCTTTGGTTAATATGTGTTTGTTTCTCAGAAAAGAGGTCTGAGCTAGAGATAAAGATTTTGGAGTCCATAAATAATTGAAACCATGAGAGTGGAATGGATTGCTCAGTGTAAAATGGGAAGAGCCTAGGACCTCAGAGCCCCAAAGATATAGAGGAAAAAAAAAATTGTGCACAGGGGCACATGGATTGCGGAGGTGGTTAAGTGTCCCAACTCTTGATTTTGGCTCAGGTCATGATCTCAGGGTCGTGAGATTGAGCCCTGCATCAGGCTCCATGCTCAATAGGGAGTCTGCTTGAGATTCTCTCCCTCTGCCCCTGCCCACCACTCGAGTGCACACGCGCACTCACTCTTTCTCTAAAATAAATCTTAAAAAAAACAAAAAAGTACACAAAAGGAGACTGATGAGGGTAGTCAGGAAGTAAGAGGAAAGCCAGGAGAGTGTGGTAGAAAGGAAATGTGTTTTAAGAAGGCATAAAACAACAGTGTGAAATGTTGAAAAGAGGTTAATTAAGCCTTGAAATGTTTCCACTGAAGATAGCACAAAAGGTTATTGTAATGATTTTGGAGAGCGTAGTTTTGGTACGCAGCCAGAAATCTTATGATTGAGTTAATGCAGGAAGAGGAAATGAAGAAAATTAGCATAGAAAACCAAATGGCTCTGACTGGACAGGAGATAGGGAGATAGTGAGAGGAAGCCCTCATGAAGACTGTTTTTTTAAAAAAAAAAGTTTAACTGCTGCCAATGAGGAGAAGCCAGTAGAGAATGAAAGGTTTAAGATACAAACAAGATGGCAAGCAGTGGAAATGGAGTGAAGCCCCAGAGTGAATTATTGGACATTATGGGCCATCATTAGATAGTTTTGGTGAGAAGAATCACTTCTCTCTTAAAACATGAAAACAGTGGAAACAATATATGGGAATGCACGTTAGTTCACAAATTCATGGGCAAAATATTGAGAATATTAGAGATATTTTCTATGACTCCAGAGGTAATTTAAGAATAATATGGTGGGTATTGTGCAATGTAGATAACGTTTGAAATACTCTCTCAAGAAATAACAGGGTTGAACAGTTTTGTGAATCTCAGCCGCCAGAATGTAAGCTTGGAGAAAGGTGGGCCCTTAGATTTAATTGGGTTAATTGGGTTCACCAAGTGGGTATAACAAAAGGACAAAGAGATCAGGCCGAGAACTCATTCCGTGAATAGTGAGAAACTGAATAAAGTGTAATTCTAGGGAATCTTTTCTAATGATAGCATACAGTATAGATTTTTGAGGGGAAGGACAAAATGGGGTGTGTGAAAGGCTAGGTGCAAGAGATGATTTTTGAGGTGATAATGGCCTAAAATGGAGTGACTATTGAAAATAATAATATAGAACTTTTGCATATCAGTGTCTTTTGAGTTACCGAAGTAAATGTGTGCCTTTCCTAATTGATAAAGATCTGGATGTAAATAAGCTTACTTTGGACACATCTAAGGAAGTTTTAAGACTAGAATAACTAATGTGGACTTGAGGTAGCTATACTCATTGTACTTATCCTAAAACTAAATTTTGCCATAAAAATTCAGAATTCAAATTGATACTTTGAATTAGATTCTGAGCTGACTGAAAAAAAGTCAATTTGTCAGCTTCTCCTGCTTTGTCATCTATCCTCAAAAATGACTGAATACAATTTTTCCATTTAGAATTGTGGTTTTCACACAGATATGTTAACTGATGGGTGATTTTTAATTAATAGTATACTCCTTCAACTACCTAAAACTGAAACCAACCATGCATCCTCCTCTGGTCCTGCTCATGAATGGTTTACCACATTTTTTGCATCCTAACTCAAAATATCCTTTTAAATTTGTATGGTTGAGGCAAACCTTGGCACAGAATATCTTTAAACATGTTCAAATAAAATTTAGAGTTAGCATTTCTTCACGTGCTATTATTCAGCTTCATAATTATCATTTAATGGAAGAACTATGTAGCATAGAGTAGATGATTTTCTAAATTTCATTTTGATAGAAACACATTGCTAGATGACTCATTGTCACCTTAATCTAGTTTGCCACACAAGCATTCCAGAGATATAGTCCAAGAAGCACTAGTCCTCCAAGATGTTCTGTGGGAAAAGGGTCCTATGGTCTAATAACTTTGGGAAATGCTCAGTCCTGTGCTTGTTGAATCACTATGCCCCATTAACATGTTAAACAGCATTCTTCAAACTTTATATATCATATCATATCATATATCATATCATAGCTTTTTATGTCCCACAGTTTGGGGAACATAATTGGAAAACACTGCTCTATATAGTTTCCTGCTAGGGTTTCTTTATATTTACTGTGATATTCCCAGAAAAATGCAATGACTATAAAAACATGTTAATTTATATACTAGATTTGTTCTTGGACATAAATTAGAGTAATCAAAATTAAGTTGTAAGTGCTTTATTAACATTCACCATTAAAAGAACACTGTGGTAAATACCTATAAGCCAAAGATGATCATATTCTAATGAGTCCATTTTGTAAATTTCATTTTTGTATATTAGATTTTCATTTCATGTTAAGAAAGGAGGAGTGGTGGTAGCAGTCAATTCAGGTAGCTTTACCATAGATATTACAAACCATGAGAAAATATCTTATGAATTTAGGAAAACATATGAGATCAGTGTTTTTTGTCAAGTCTTAATTTCATATGACATCAGTATCTCCTCAAGTCTTAATTAACCTTACACCATCTTAATTTGGTCAGAACTGGATGAAGTGAAGATAGATATTTTAATGGAAAAATGAAAAAAATCATTGGCATATTCTTTTTTATTTGGACTTCATATTACCTCTTTACTAATTGACAGTGCCACAAGTGAAACTGTTAAAACTTTTGGTTATTTGAAGTATTCTAATGAAATCAGGAATTTTTTTTTTAATTTTTTTTTTTTGTTTAAGATTTTATTTATTTGCGAGAGAGAGAATGAGAGACAGAGAGCATGAGAGGGAGGAGGGTCAGAGGGAGAAGCAGACTCCCTGCTGAGCAGGGAGCCCGATGTGGGACTCGATCCCGGGACTCCAGGATCATGACCTGAGCCGAAGGCAGTCGCTTAACCAACTGAGCCACCCAGGCGCCCCTGAAATCAGGAATTTTTAATAAAAATCCGTTCTATTTATAATTGAGTTTCTTCCCTATCAGCATAACTTTCATAGGAACTGAGTAAGGAGAAGAGTTTTAGGTTTTGAAGCATTTCTAACTCTTGCTATAATGCTTTATTAAAATATAGAAGAGCTACTTTGATAATCTCCTGTCTTGATTTTTTTTTCTTAGAATTTTTCTTGACTATTTTATATCCTATTGCTTTGTTAACCATTACTGAGTTTTTCACAATATTCTACTTGACTAATTACCCCACATCTTTCATGGGAAACCATCTAATTTACTCAACAAATTGGATACTTTTTCTTTTGATCTACTAGGCTTTGTGTTAGACATTAGAGTCACAGAGGAACTCGGGGAACTTACAAAAAAGTATGTCAAATTGTTTTTACTTTGGCAGCACAGTATAATTTGAAGAAAGATAATTTGATTGATTCTCCATACTAGTGGATATGGAGTATAGAACTATTTTCAAACATAAAACTAATTCTCTAAATTGGGGCACCTGGCCCATGGCCTGTTTGTAAGTAAAGTTTTATTGTAACACTCCAAGTTCACTTAGGTGTTGTCATTGCTGTTTATGCCACTGAAGCTGAATTGAGTAATTTCATAAAGCCCACAAAGCTTAAAATACTTATTACCTGGCCTTTTGTGGAAAAAAGTTTGCTGACCTGTATATATCAGTAGAATTTTGGTATGTGGCTAGAAAGTCCTTGGGTTGTTTAAAAATAGATTAAAGTTATTATATCCAGTTTATTCCGAACACCCCATCCTCTCCCTCTTCCCACACAATGCAATATATTTCTGACTTGTAGTTGTTTTGTTTTATCTGTATGGGACAAGACCTATCGTTATCCAGCAGAGTGGTGCTGGGGAGCCATGAGTGGCAGTTTATTCTGTTTTGTAAATCTTTATTCTCTCCCCGCAGCCTCCAGACCTGCTTTGTCTATCCGAGGTAAGTCCAAGGGTCGCCCTTCTTCTCTTCCTTCACCGGTGGCTACCACCTGTTAGAAAGATTGATTTCAGTGCTTTACATCTTAAATTCCTTCCTCAAATGTTCTCCTTTTTTCTTCTCAATTTCTTCACTTAGGGATTCAGAATTCTTGGTTCAGCTCTCCCAGCTACCATTCCCCCCACCCTCATTTTTCCTGGGCAGTAAACAGTTTACAGTGGAGCTGAGCATTCTGTGATTATAATGTTAAGTCTATTGAATTCACCTGTTGTTTAATTACGCGCGGGGGGTGGGGGGGACAGAGCAGTGTCTGAATGATTTCATCCTGCCAGGTTTTTCTTGGTTGTTCTTGTTTAATTTTAATAAGACCTTGGCTTCTTTTTCCTACCCCACTCCCATTCCAATCCCAGGCAACCTAGACATTTCATTTGTTTTCTACTTTGTTTCTGTACATAGAAACAGAAAGGTAGATAGACCCCATTAATTTATTCTTTAAAAAATGTCTCCTGTGTGCCAGGCGATATGCTAGACATACAGGATATGATGGGGGACAAAACCAGGTATTGTTCTGCCCTCATGGTTCAAGTTTATTAAGAGAGGCAGACATTGAGTAAGTAAGTACACAAATCTTACAAGTTCTTAATTAGTAGGTGGTATTATAAGAATTCCTTATAGGGAGATTTTATCAAGTCAGAGAATTGGGGGGGAAGACTTCTCTAAGGAAATGGCATTGAACTGAGCTGTGAAGAGTGAGTAGGAATTAATTAGGCCAAGTAGCAAAGAACTGGGAGGGGAGGACTGACTTCCAGAAAGACTTGCATGTGGGAAAACTGCAGCATGGTATTCTTTGCAGGTAAGACAATGACTGGTGTGTCTTGAGTCAAAAGAGAAAGGAGGAGCATGATATCAGGTGTGAGGATTGAGAAGTAAATGAAGGATAGCCATGTAGATTCCCATAAGCCATGTTTATGTACTTTGAGTGGCTTCCTATTGCTCTTAGAGTAGAGATTGGATAGGGAAGATACATGACATCATCAGATTCTCCCTAGAGGATCTCTCTGACTGCCTTGTGGAAAATGAATGGTAGACTGCATGAGTGAAGGCATAGACCATTACGGTGGTCCAAATGAGAACTGTACTACTTTAAAACAATGCTTTACAAACTTTAGTGTGCATCAGAATCACCAGGAGGGCTTATTAAAAAAGAGATGGTTGGGTTCCAAGGACCACACTTAGAGAACTATTGGTATAGAGTGTAGAGGGTTGTAGAAGAAAGAAGATTAATTCCTTACTAATATGATCATTATGTTATAAATTTCCCTCTGAACACTACTTTAGCTGTATCTCACAAATTTTGCTCTGCTGTATTTTCACTCTCATTAAATTAGAACTATTTTCATATTTCCCTTGTGATTTCTTGTTTAACCCATGGATTACTTAGAGATATATTGGTCAGTTTCCAAATTTTGAGGATTTTCCAGATACTGTTACTGATTTCTAGTTTAATTCTACTATGGTTATAAAATATACTTTGTATGATTTTAATTCTTTTGAATTTATTGAGATTTTTTTTTTATGGTCAAGAGTCTATCCAGATCTACTTTAATGAATGTTCTCCATGTTATTGAAAATAATGTGTAGTCTGCTGCTGTTGGGTGGAGTCTTGTCAGTTAAGCAAGTTGATAGTGCTGTTCAACTCTTCTACATCCTTCTTGAGTTTCAGTCTACTTATTCTATTTATCCTTGAGAGAGAGGTTTTGAAATCTGCAACTTTGATTCTAGATTTTCCTATTTATCCTTTCAGTTGTGGTTTTGTTTCATGTATTTTGAAGCTCTGTGATTAGGTGCATATACATTTAGAATTTTTATGAACTTTTGATGAATTTACTCCTTTTTCATATGAAATGAACCTCTTTATCTCTGGAAATATTCTTTGGTCTGAAATCATTTTTTGTCTGATATTACTATAGTCATTCCAGCTACTTTTCACTAGTTTTAGCATGGTATATCTTTTCCCACACTTTCATTCTTAATCTATATGTCTCTGTATTTGAAGTGAGTTTCTTTTAGGCAGCATACAGTTGAGGCTTGCTTTCTCACCCAATCTGACAATCTCTGCCTTTTAATAGACCATTTTCATTTCATGTGACTTGATGTGGTTGAGTTTCAGTCAGCCAACTTTGTTTTGTTTTTGTTTTTGTTTTAATTGAGGTATAACTGACATAAAACATCTTAGTTTTGAGTGTACAACATAATGATTTGGTATTTGTTATGTATTGTGACGTGATCACCACAGTAAGTCTAGTTAACTTTTGTCACCATAGAATTTTTTCTTGTGATGAAAACTTTTATGATCTATTCTTTTAGCAAACTTCAAATATGTAATACAGTATTATTAATTACAGTCAGCGACTGTGCTGTATGTTACATTCCCATGACTTCTTTATTTTATGACTAGAAGTTTGTACCTATTGAGCCCCTTCACCCATTTTGCCCCCGCCTCTAGCATCCACCAATCTGCTTTCTGTATTGGTGAGCTTGGTTGGTTGTTATTTTTAGATTCCACATATAAGTGAAATCATCTGATATTTGTCTTTCTCTAACTTATTTCACTTAGCATAATGTCCTCAAGGTCCATTCATGTTATTGCAAATGGCAAGATTTCCTTTTTATGGCTGGATGTGTGTCTGTGTGTGTGTGTGTGTGTGACAGAGAGAGAGATTCTCTTTATCCATTCATCCTTTGATAGACACAAGTTGTTTCCATATCTTGGTTATTGTAAATAATGCTGCAGTGAACATGTGTGGGGGGGGTGCATATATCTTTTCAAGTTTACTGTTTTCATTTTTTTGGATAAATATCCAGAAGTGGAATTGCTGGATCATATGGTAGTTCTATTTTTAATTTTTTGAGGAACATCCATACTATTTTCTATAGTGGGTATACCAATTTATATTCCCACTAATAGTACACAAGGTTCACCTTTTTTCCACATCTTCACCCACACTTATTTCTTATCTTTTTGATAAAAGCCATCCAACTTTCTATTTTCTATTTGTCCCATCTATTATTTACTTCCTTTTTTCTCTTTTCTTGCCTTCTTTTGGATAAGCTGAGTGTATTTTATTATTCTATTTACTCTCTTAATTGTTTTTTTAAGAAGTACTTGCTGTCAAGTTTACCCTATACATTAATTTACCAGTAACTCCCTTCAGATAATGTTACACCACTTCATGTATAGTCTAAGAACTTTACAGTACATTTGCATTTCCTCCCTCCAAGCCTTTGTGCTATTATTATTGTCATACATTTTGCTTCTATAAATGTTATAATCTTCCCAATATGTTGTTACTGTTTTTCCTTTGTACAGTTGTTCAAAGAGATTTTTAAAATAGGAAAAGTATTTTCCCCATGAATTTTCCATTTCTGGTACTTTTCATTCTTTTGTACAAATCCAGGCTTCTATCTGATATTATTTTACTTCTGCCTGAATAACTTCCTTTAGCATTTCTTGTAGTGTGGGTTTGCTCTTTATTAATTCACTCAGCCCTGCCTTTTTGTCTGAAAAAGTCTTATTTTGCACTTTTTTTCCCCACTTCTGTTTTTGAAAAGATATTTTAGCTGGATATGAAATTCAGATTTGACCATATGTTTCTTTTAGTACTTTGAACCTGTTGCTCCACTGCCTTCCAGATTTTGAAGATAAGTCTGCTGTCATTCTTCTTTTTGCTACTCTGTATGTACTGGATTTTTTTCCCTCCAGTTGCTTATAAGATTTTATCAGTGGTTATCAGCAGTTTGATTATAAATGGGTTTGGCATTGTTGCCTTCATGTTTTTTTCTATTTGGAGTTTTTTGAACTAGTTGGATATGGGGGTTTAGTTTTTATCACATTTGGAAATCTTTTAGCTGTATTTTCTTGAAATATGTTTCTATCTCTCTTGTCACTACTCTCCTTTTGGGATTCCAATCACATTTATTTTGCCGCATAGAACACTGATACCTGTTCATTTTTCTACATTTTTTTCTCTGTTTCATTTTGGATTATGCTATTTCATGTTTTTAAGTTTGATAAACTCTTCTTTGGATTGTCTAATCTGCTGTTAGTAACAGCCAGGATATTTTCATTTCAGAAATTATATTTTCATCTCCAGAGATTTAAATTTAGTCTTCTGGGGCACCTGGGTGGCTCAGCTGGTTAAGTGTCTGCCTTCAGCTCAGGTCATGAGCCCAGGGTCCTAGGATCGAGCCCCATGTTGGTCTCCCTGCTCAGCAGGGAACCTGCTTCTCCCTCTCCCCTCTGCTGGTGCTCTCTCTCTCTTGCTATGTCTCTCTCTCTGTCTCACAAATAAATAAATAAAATCCTTTTAGTAAATAAATAAATTTAGTCTTCTTTGTATTTACTATATTTCTCCTCATGCTTATGCTTTCCTCAGCTTCTTGAAAGTACTTGCACTAATAATCCTTGTGTGCTAATTTTACATTGTGTGCTATCAGTTCCTACTGATTGATTTTTCTTCTCATTTTGGATATTTTCCTGTTTTTTGCATGCCTGGTAATTTTGGATTGGATGCTGGACACTGTCGATTTTACCTTTTATGCTGGGGTTTTTTTGTTTTGTTTTTCCAATGTCTTCAATGTTTTGTGGCTCTGTTCTGAGACACTATTAACTCATTAAGAAAACTTTATTGTTTCAAATCTTGCTTTTGGGCATTGATAGGCAGAGTTGGAACAGCCTTTAGTCTAGGACAGTGGTTCTCAACCGGGGATGTCCTGCAGAGGATATTTGATGATGTATAGAGACATTTTGGATTGTCACACTTAGTGGGTAGAGGCCAGAGATGCTGCTAAACATTCTACAGTGCATAATAAGACAGCTCCTCACAATAAAGAATCACTTGGCCCCAAATGTCAGTAGTGCTGAGGATGAGAAATCTTGCCATAGGGCTAATTTTACCCCACTAGTGAGGCACTACCAATAATTATTTACTGTCATATGTGTC